CTACGCGGTTTAGAACTACGTTGCTCTATTTTTGATCAGTCCGTTAGGTCGGTACTCTACCAGGGATCTGGGCTAGAAGAGCCAATAACTTGCAAGTTTAAGATGAATGAGGTGTACTTACCCTTGAAATTTAGGAATATGACCTCTGGAAAGATTTTCGTCTTGGTGTGAATTGTGCTAAATCCCGATGATCCACGGACCCAATTGCCTTAGAATCGATTGCGTCGATTGGACGGTCGCAGGACTTCGGTGTAATATGAGTTTTAGTTGTTAAAATAATGTCACTTAATTCACATGACAAAACTGCTGTGTCAGCTGGGAATGGAATTTGCCTCAGAAAAATATCGATTACTATCAAGCAGCAAAACATATTTCGGTGTAATATGGGTTTTTAGTTATTAAATAAATGTCACTTGATTAACAGGTAAAACCAAAGTATATTCTTCAAGTTTACAAGTAAATAAAAGTTGCACAAGTGGTTACACAATTTCGATCACTTGTGATAACTGTCACACGGAATATTACAAATGTAACACGAATTATAAACGTAGCGTGTTAAAGTGCGTTTACTGTACGCAAATTGTAATAATCGGTTATAAATGCGCGACGTGTACGAACTCTTATATAAAATTTGTATAATCAAGCAAAATAACTTATAATAAATGATGGAAAAGTCTGTCTTCCAAGTTAACCAAGCCGTAACAACAAAGAAGAGTATCCTGAAAAAAACTGCTCTTTTATTAACGTATAAAGAAGACCATCTTGAAAAAGAATTGTCTTAAACAAGAAGCCTGTTGTATTGGAAGAGAGACTCTCAAGCACAAAATGTATAATTATAAAATATTCAAGCAGAGGTAATTAAGATTTATGTGTTAAGAGTATAGAGGTTGCCGGTAGACTGCCGGCGAGGAGTCCCCTGGCTCCCCACGTCGAGTCCTGTACGGCCGAGTAACGTCCCTAACGCTTCTACCAAAATTTCATATTTAATACCATAGGGTATCATTTAATACGGGCCATAGGACTTTGTTGCATAAGGTTTTTTTTCGTATTTATTCTCTAAGCATAATTCACATTGATTTATGAAATTTTGAATGATACGGTCCATATTTATGATATAGAATTTTCTTTTAAAGTGAGCTATAGTTTCCTGTATGCCGTTATGGTTTTGGTTATGATACTCCTCTAGTTTTTCCACGAAGTTTTTCCGGTCTATTACAGGCGTATAGATGTTGGTTTTAGTCAATTTCAATTTTCCGTTCAAGTGTTCCCTTAATAACCTACACGTGATGGTTTCCAAATTTCCGTCTGCGAAATAAATCCCATACTGTTTATCAGTGTGGATGTTTTCCCTGAAAAATTTGAGCAACTGTGTCTCTGCGTCATTTTCATTAATTTTTACCGTGTATTGTATTTTAAATTTATCCTTGGTCGTCTTTATTCCATAATCTCTTCCTGATTTAATTATTACACTGTAATTAAACATATGAATGTTTTTTTCCGTTATGGGCAAATAGAAGGCCGAGTCTTCGCCCGATGTGTGAAAGGTTGCTATGCCCTCGTCCGGTGTTTCGTCCAATTCCTCCTGAGCATTGAGTTCTATCCTGCTTAAAGCATCTGCTACACTATTCTCACGACCTTTTTTATATTTGATTTCGAAGTCATATTCCTCCAACTTAATTCTCCATCGAATTAAACGAGAATTGGGTGTTTTTAAGGACCAAAGCCAAGTAAGCGGTTTATGGTCAGTTTCGATAGTAARYCTTCTCCYRTAGATGTAGRGYCGAAAATGCCWACATGCTTCTACGATCGCTAACAGTTCCTTCTCTATGGTGGAATAATTTTGTTCTGCAGAATTTAACGTTCTCGAATAGCATGATATAAGATGCCTATCCTGAGAYAACTCGGCTCCGATTCCAACATTCGATGCATCCGTAGTAATGATAAAAGGCTTCGAGAAATCCGGGTATGCTAACACAGGTGCATTTGTAATTAACTCTTTTAATTTATTAAATGCTTCTACGTAATTCGAATTTTGACAATCTATCTGTTCGCCCTTAGTAAACACCTTTGTGAGTGGCCTGGATATTGTGGCGTAATCTTTTATAAATTTGMGATAATATCCGGTGAGTCCCAGAAATGATTTCACCTCCCTTTGCGTTTTCGGAATGGGATATCTTACTATAGAATCGATTTTRTCGGGATTTGTCTTTATCCCCTCTGATGTTATTATGTGGCCTAAAAATGGGACCTCCTTCCTTAAAAATTCMCTTTTGTCTATCTGAATCTTCAACTTATATTTTCTTAATTCTTCAAATATGAGTTTCAAATGTTGTAAGTGTTCCTGTAGTGATTTYGAAAATATTACTATGTCATCCATATATACGAAACAAAATCGGTGTAAATATTTCATCAGTATTCTGTCCATCATTCGCTGGAACGTAGCAGGAGCATTTTTCAGTCCGAATGGCATTCGGACATACTCAAAGTGTCAATTCTCGACGGAAAAGGCTGTTTTCTCTATTGAATCTTTATCCACAGGTATTTGATGAAATCCCTGTGCCAGATCCAGTGTGCTAAAGTAGGCGCATTTGCCCAAATTTTCCAAGATTTCCTCCATTCTTGGCAGTGGGTATTTATCCTCAATAGTTTTGTCATTTAATTTTCTGTAATCGATGACCATGCGCCATTTCTTTTTTCCGCTGGCGTCCGATTTTTTCGGAACAACCCAAACTGGTGACGAATAAGGTGAGTTACTTGGCTGAATTATTTTGTCGTTCAACAATTTTCTGATTTGTTCTTGTATAATCTCTTTTAAATGGTACGGATATCTAAAACCTTTGACATAGATCGGATATTCATCTTTCGTTCTAATATTATGTGTCACTGCGGTG